CCACCTGAATGTATCTAAGAAAACGAGCATTCCAGAAAAATGCAGGTAAATCTTACACATTTTATAGAGAGAAACAGACAATTGGAGACAACATAATGAAAAAGACCGGGAAACGGTTAAAAGTTTAAAAAGGTAGTGAAAATGCAAACCCTCTTGATGGAAGTAAATGAGAGAGAGAGAGCAAAGGAGGCGTTTCTGGAGGGCCCCTCCCTTGTCATCCAGTCGGCTTCTGTGCCTAAGGCAGGACTCGAACCGGAGTCGCAGGGGCAGAACTAGTCTAGGGGCCTTAAGCACTGGAACAAACTGGCACAATACTGAGAAATGAGCTGCAGCTGGCAGAGGGCTCCCATCTTCCCAGGCCTTGGAGCCCGAATGAAAAGGGGAGAAAAGCAGGCAGAGCAACCGTGGATGGTCTTGGTTTACATGAGTTTGATTTTCTTTTTCTTCAATCGCCTGCCTCAATTTATTCTACTGCAAATGGCAGTGACGTTAGCCCTTTCCTTTGGGTAACCTCTCAAATGCCTCCCTTTGCTGCACGTTACCTGCATTTCTCTGTTGAGGATCTGATAGACTTCTTTGGAATCAATAAACTTTTTGTAGAGTTCTTGCTGTTCAGCCGTCAAGCGACAAAATAAGACCTAGACGGAGAGATTGGAGAAATGACTGCACTCGCATTGAGCCGTAAGCAAATATTATGGAGCAGCAAAAGCACAAACACACGTCTTCTGCCAAAGACTTGACAACGCCTGGCTTTCGTGACTGGGATCGGCCTCTCTGCGGTGCCCATCTCCAAACCCCTCAGCTCATCCAGGAGGACCCGCAATATGTCAGGCCCATCTTGCAGAAGGAAATTCCCACCTTATCTGCAAGCAGAACTTTTAATTAACGCCAGTTTGTGAGACGAATCCCCCCCCCACCTTTGTCTGGGAGTGCTCTCCACCAAGCAATATGGCAATCTCCTACCCAGAGATGCCACCGCTCTCAAATGCCTCCATAGACGACTCGGGTCTTTGGGGCATGGAGATTTTAATTTTAACCTACGGTTTTAAACTTAACTACATTAAGTATTCAATGGAATAGAAAACTAGGATACAAATCGAACAGATTTCTTCCCTCATAACGTAACTGTTGATAGGCATTCACCATGCACTCTAAATTTCCTCTGATATCCGGTAGCAGATTGTAAACCTACAGGAGGATTTATATGAGTGAAAACAACGTATCGGAAAATTGTCTTGTATGTTTTGTGAAGTAAGCTACCCAGAGAAGCTGCTGAGGGGAGCAATTGTGGAAATCAAACAAAGAAAGACTCCGTTTTCAGGTTTCCCAAGAAAGGCGTTTGCAAAATAATTCATGCCGTATAATAAATAACAGTGCTGTAGGTTGTAATTCAGTGTCACCTGCAAGCACAGCTCAGTATGTTTACGGGGGCTACCAGTGGGATCTTCCCCAATTAAGACTGGTTTCCAGGATTATTCTCCCCTTGAACAAGTGTCAATCTGTCTGATCTTAATTTGCTCCCAACTTCAAGGGGAAACGTTTCATTCTGCAGGGCCAGGATCTCCTCAAAGGTGGCATCTGACCCAATGGGAGGGGGAGGCTGTGGGAGCCCACAGGCCCTGGGCTCCTTCCAGGGATGGGAAGCTCATTCTTCATCTTGGCGAGTCGACAGGGAAACTGTACCAAATGAAAGGTACCTGTTCATTTTTATCTGGCAAGGAGAGGCTCATCTGAACATCGGCCTTCATTCTGCGCAGCAGGTAGGGGTTAATCGTATCCCGTAAAATACAGGCACACTTGTACGCGGTTTTCACCTTTGGGGGAGGGAAAAAATATGCCAGTGACTTTACTCGTACTTTGTTATTCCAGTATGGGGATGGTGTGGAAGGAAGGATAAAAGGAGCAGCGAAAGATAAGGAGAAAAAGCAAGGAAGTTATCTACAGAAGCGACTTCCGGCCTTCTTTGTAGCAGCTACAAACACGCCAATCGCCATCTCCAATTCCCCCGCGTTGCCTATCGAAGTTCCCTTCTTCCCATAAACTCCGATCGCTCCATCCCGAGATCAGCAGTGCCTCCTCATGCCTTTTACCAACAAAAAGCCGGGAGAGGCTTTCCAGAGGGGCTTGGAAAGACCTACAAAGGACCTTTCGGGGGGGCCCTGCTGGTCCTCACCTGGACCGGAGAGGCGTTGGAATATCCCCCCATGGTTATGGGGACCGAGAACTGCTCCAGGAAGACAGGGAGGGTCCCCAACTTCCCTGGAAACACAAAATCAAAGAGAGACCACAGCTCCTTGAGGTGGTTTTGCAGAGGTGACCCGGACAAGATGATCCGATGAGGAGTGGAGAACTGCAACGGGAAGAGAAGAAATTGTGATGTCCCATTGAAACAAAAGAGACAATTCTGCTCAAATGATGTGATACGGTGCTGTGTGAGATTAAAATGAACTAAAATCACCCCAACAGCTTTGCAGAATTGCTCCACTTAAAATGTTTTTTCTTTCTGAGATTCTGTCTATTTTTCAAATACTCACAATTCCACTCCCTCCTCTGCAATTTCATGCATAGCAAATAATTTTCTCTGGATTTATGGCTTGTTTGCTGAATACTCATCCTCCACTACAAAACTATGTGATCAGGCTTGATAAATCGACATTTACAGCTTGAAAATTAATGAGTAGTTACCATCGGCCTCTCCTCTCCCCTTCTCTCCCTCAGGCTTGCCCCACAAAAGCCTCCCCTATCCTATCCCCTTGTCTCCCCCTTGGCTCCTCTCCAAACTCCCCGCCAGCAGGCCGGATGAGTCACACCCTGGCCACGCCCAAGTGGCAGTTTGAACAGAGATCTTTTCAGGTGGGGAGGGGGAATAGAACTCCTTAGCATCAGAGTGTGTTAATAATAATATAAGAAATATTAATGATCTGATGGTCATTTCGAAAAATCCTTTCTAAGTGAGCACCTAGAAGCCAAGACGAACATACGTGCCACATGCCAAGTTTGTAGGTTTTACCATTCTGGAGATTTCGTGAGCTGGCATGTGATTTTTGCTTTTATATTTATATTTATATATATATATATATAAGTCCAAGGCAATCTTTTTTTGTTTGTCTGTTTCAAGGAATCCTACCTGTTTGCAAGCCAGTGTAACTGCAGCCTTCGGATTCCGAATTTTATGTCCCTCGTCCAGAATCACGTAATGCCAGTTATGCCTCTGGAGGTTCTCTTGCAACAAGCGAATGTAAGAATAGGAGGTTATCAAGATTCCATTGCAGGCCACAATTTCACGAATCAGTTTTACCTGCAAAAAGGTGATTTTTAAGATTATTAAACAGCGAAGAAAACCTCAATTTTCTTGCATAGCTAAACTAACTGAAGAGTTGCCCCGCGTTAAATTAGAAACAAAGCGAGATCTTGAAAAAGAATAAGGATTACATTATGGCAATGACAGCACCTGATTACGTGGACCGTAAGTCACAGGGAACACGCTCGACTTTTCTAAATGAAATGACAAATGAAGACGTCAGAGGCAAACGCTCAAGGGTGACACCCAGCAGGCTCCCCATGTGGCCCCCCCGTTACATTCAACTATGGTTGGGTGATGGACGACGTTTTGGTTTCAAGCCACAACTGAAAGAAGTGCGAAGAAAATCCAGCAAGAGAAGGAAAGAGGATGCCACACGCGCAAGATGACGCCCGGGGCATTTTACCGCTGTTTAGCGTGGCCTGCCTCATCTACCGAGCGAGGGACAGATGGCCTTACACGGCAGAGGCTGGTGAAGAAGCCAACAAAGACTTCTGGGGAAACAGAAATCTCAATTTACAAGTAATTCTCGGGCACAGAAGAAAACCGGAGCCGTCAATGGAGCAGAAAATGGCCCATTTGCGAGGCCCAATTTAAGAGAGTTGTAAATGCGCATTCACTTATTTTCCAGTTAAAGACAAATCTGTACCTCTATGGACACACAAGCGCATACAATGCACGCCCAGGCAGAGCTTTCCACGAAGGGCCGCTGCCATCATCGTACATTGTATGTTTGCTGACCTTAAGTGAACGGAAATATCGAGAGAAGGGAATTAACTTTGCCCAACTTCCAAGAATTGTCTTTGCCATGGGCTGGGGCGATGTTTGTGTCCTCACAGGGTTCTTCTCCTTGCACCTGCTTGCTGTATCCCACAGAACTCAGTGGGAGCTTCCTTCACGGTGCAGCACAAAAAAACAAAATTGGAAATTGGCTCTTAGAGAATCCTTTTGATTCAAGGCTGCGGGGAAACTGCAGGGGTTCCCAACAGATCTACTCTTATGGAAAGACACCGTTTACAAGCCACAAGTCAAGGAGGAGCCAATTACGAGGAAACTCCCCCTGTGAGAACAGCTGAGGGTCCTTCATCTCTCAGAATCTTTCTGGCCGTTTTAAGAGGAAGGTCCTGACCAGCCACTCCAAAAACAAAGCCCTCTGCACATCAATCCCAGCGGCAGCCTGGTTGCTCCTTCAATCTCTTCCTTCCCCACCCACAGAGGGAAGCCGGTTGGATTCTCCCTTAGCAGATGAGGTGGCAGGAGGCAGACAGAACAGGACTTAAACAGCACTAAAGACAGGCAGTCCTCGACTTATAACAGTTCATTTAGTGACGGTGCAAACAGCACTGAAAAAAGGGACCGATGACCCTTTTTTACAGTTGCGGCCACTGCAGCTTCCCCCAGGCTCACGTGATCAAAATTCAGGCACTTGGTAACTGGCCGGGTTCACTTAACAACCATGTCCCTAACAACTGCAGTGCCTCACTTAACAACCGTGGCAAGAAAGGTCGTAAAATGGGACAAAACTGACTTAATAACAGAAACGTTGGACTCAATTTGTAAGTCAAGGACTACGTAGACGGAACACAAAGATGGATGAAAATGCAGATGCCACTACGCGTATGCAATGGGAGGGATTCTAGAGACCATCTAGTCTGACCCTCAGTGGCGGCACCCACTACTACGCCATCCTTAAGAAAAGGCCGTCCAGCCGTTTAGACCCCCTACTTGCACCTTCTGCTATCAATACTCTTGAAGGCAACGCAGGAGAATTTGCCGTCTGCACCCTCCCCAAAAGACGACGTTTGAAATAAAAGCAGGGGATTGGCAGAAACCCTCCCCACCGGACGGATTCTCTCTGACTCCGTCACCTGCCGCAGGGGACACGAACCAGCTTTGTTTTTATTTCTTGCTCCTCCGCATGGCAGCACCAGCTCTGTGAATCATGGCGTCTCCATTGGAGGACCCCGAGTGCCGGCCAAGGAAGGCAGGCCCGCCCCCCACCAGCCGTGTTCCCCTTCGGAAGCCCCCAGGCCCCACATTCAGGGGAGAGAAGGGGGGCCCTTCCAAGCCCTCCCTATTTTGCTATCCTGGTCTCTGGCAGCAGGAGCCACTGAAATCTCTGCTCAGACCTAAGAAGGAACCATCTGAGGCGATTTCAAATTAAAAGCTTGTAAAATGCGTCACCTCTCCCAGATTCTGCAATTAATAGGGTATGTCTGCAATTATCCCGACTCAGAGAAGGCGGCTGCACCGTTGTCATGAAAAGATGTTCTGCGGAAGGGCGGCTGATCCTGCAGGGGCTCAGGAGACCAAACCCTCCTAGAGGGCAATCAGAGCGGAGGTAGGAAACAACATCCATAAATCACACTGTCAGCGCAGGAGGAGGAGGAGGAGGAGGAGGGAAGAGGAGCAGCCCGGACGGCCCAGGCGCAGGCCGCTCACGGCAGGCAGGCAGGCGCAGCTCAGCCGAGGCCCAGGGCTCCGGCATTTACCCAAGCTGTAATTAATTAAAATTTCCTTCAAGCCAAAACTTTATTAAACAAGGAGTTGTGCTGACAATGAAGGAAAAGACGGGGAGGCAATTCATCACGGCCACTTCTCCACTTCAGCTTAAGGTGATGCAAAACTCCCCATAGATCTTTCCAATCCTGGGGAGGAAGGGCGCCCCCGGAGCTCCCCCAGGCGTCCCCGGCCTCTCTTCCCCTTTTCTGCCCCTCCTTCAAGGGAAGTTCAGCTCCTCGTTCGAGATCACAACGGTTTGCATGGCCCCTCGTCACAAGGCCCCCCCCTCGGCCCATCAGAGGGAAGGGAGGCAGGGCCCTCCCAAGGGAAAGGGAAGGAGGGGTCAGCCGGACCCATCCCCTCACACCTTCAGCATCCATCAGACAGTCACTAAGTGGGGACCACCATTAAAGTTCTGGCTATTATTATTATTACCCTGGATGTTCAGGGACCGTTGTCAATGCAGGCGTCTAAAGCTGTAAGGTGCATAAGAAAATTCTGCAGTAGAGGAATAATTTGAATCTACAGAAATCTAATATTATATGATAATCCCAATTAAAATGCTCTCTACCTCTGCTTGACCACCTTTCTTAATATTATTATCTTGATTTGATTTAGTTCTAATGGAACTTTTTAAAATTTTTTGTTGAATATCCTGTCCTTGCATTTTCTTCCCAAATATGAAACTTGGTGCCTTTTCCACCGGACGTCTGAAAGGGGGGCTGGGCAGGAGCTTTCCCCAAATGCAACCCGGGGATTGCGGGAAGGTCACAGGGGGCAGCCCAAGGGGAGGGGCTGTCCGGCCCCGAAAGCGGAGCGACCGAAGCAAAAGGGACACATTTCAAAACGGGGGAAAGGGCCTCCTGTGCCACGACCCACACTTTTTGTGTAGCCTCTGACGGCTGTGAAATTGAAATTGAAGAGTCCAAGCGGGGTCCCTTCCGCAGAAGGGAGCGGGGAGTGAAGTGGGAGACGGATCAAAGCCTGACCTGAGATCTTCTCTACGGCCTCTGCCTCCTGGGACATAAGGCAGCCCACCCAGAAACCCAACCCCACACCTCCAGGTCAGGGGGCTGTGACTTTACGCCTTCCCCCCCCCCCTGGAAAACAGAGGAAACCGCTAAAGGGCTGCTCATGGTGGTTAATATCCACAAGCAGCGCCAGGAATGACGACACAATGCCTGAAAGGAAGAGGAACTGCTCCCGTGTGGGGACACCTAGCNTCACTTAACAACCGTGGCAAGAAAGGTCGTAAAATGGGACAAAACTGACTTAATAACAGAAACGTTGGACTCAATTTGTAAGTCAAGGACTACGTAGACGGAACACAAAGATGGATGAAAATGCAGATGCCACTACGTGTATGCACTGGGAGGGATTCTAGAGACCATCTAGTCTGACCCTCAGTGGCGGCACCCACTACTACGCCATCCTTAAGAAAAGGCCGTCCAGCCGTTTAGACCCCCTACTTGCACCTTCTGCTATCAATACTCTTGAAGGCAACGCAGGAGAATTTGCCGTCTGCACCCTCCCCAAAAGACGACGTTTGAAATAAAAGCAGGGGATTGGCAGAAACCCTCCCCACCGGACGGATTCTCTCTGACTCCGTCACCTGCCGCAGGGGACACGAACCAGCTTTGTTTTTATTTCTTGCTCCTCCGCATGGCAGCACCAGCTCTGTGAATCATGGCGTCTCCATTGGAGGACCCCGAGTGCCGGCCAAGGAAGGCAGGCCCGCCCCCCACCAGCCGTGTTCCCCTTCGGAAGCCCCCAGGCCCCACATTCAGGGGAGAGAAGGGGGGCCCTTCCAAGCCCTCCCTATTTTGCTATCCTGGTCTCTGGCAGCAGGAGCCACTGAAATCTCTGCTCAGACCTAAGAAGGAACCATCTGAGGCGATTTCAAATTAAAAGCTTGTAAAATGCGTCACCTCTCCCAGATTCTGCAATTAATAGGGTATGTCTGCAATTATCCCGACTCAGAGAAGGCGGCTGCACCGTTGTCATGAAAAGATGTTCTGCGGAAGGGCGGCTGATCCTGCAGGGGCTCAGGAGACCAAACCCTCCTAGAGGGCAATCAGAGCGGAGGTAGGAAACAACATCCATAAATCACACTGTCAGCGCAGGAGGAGGAGGAGGAGGAGGAGGGAAGAGGAGCAGCCCGGACGGCCCAGGCGCAGGCCGCTCACGGCAGGCAGGCAGGCGCAGCTCAGCCGAGGCCCAGGGCTCCGGCATTTACCCAAGCTGTAATTAATTAAAATTTCCTTCAAGCCAAAACTTTATTAAACAAGGAGTTGTGCTGACAATGAAGGAAAAGACGGGGAGGCAATTCATCACGGCCACTTCTCCACTTCAGCTTAAGGTGATGCAAAACTCCCCATAGATCTTTCCAATCCTGGGGAGGAAGGGCGCCCCCGGAGCTCCCCCAGGCGTCCCCGGCCTCTCTTCCCCTTTTCTGCCCCTCCTTCAAGGGAAGTTCAGCTCCTCGTTCGAGATCACAACGGTTTGCATGGCCCCTCGTCACAAGGCCCCCCCCTCGGCCCATCAGAGGGAAGGGAGGCAGGGCCCTCCCAAGGGAAAGGGAAGGAGGGGTCAGCCGGACCCATCCCCTCACACCTTCAGCATCCATCAGACAGTCACTAAGTGGGGACCACCATTAAAGTTCTGGCTATTATTATTATTACCCTGGATGTTCAGGGACCGTTGTCAATGCAGGCGTCTAAAGCTGTAAGGTGCATAAGAAAATTCTGCAGTAGAGGAATAATTTGAATCTACAGAAATCTAATATTATATGATAATCCCAATTAAAATGCTCTCTACCTCTGCTTGACCACCTTTCTTAATATTATTATCTTGATTTGATTTAGTTCTAATGGAACTTTTTAAAATTTTTTGTTGAATATCCTGTCCTTGCATTTTCTTCCCAAATATGAAACTTGGTGCCTTTTCCACCGGACGTCTGAAAGGGGGGCTGGGCAGGAGCTTTCCCCAAATGCAACCCGGGGATTGCGGGAAGGTCACAGGGGGCAGCCCAAGGGGAGGGGCTGTCCGGCCCCGAAAGCGGAGCGACCGAAGCAAAAGGGACACATTTCAAAACGGGGGAAAGGGCCTCCTGTGCCACGACCCACACTTTTTGTGTAGCCTCTGACGGCTGTGAAATTGAAATTGAAGAGTCCAAGCGGGGTCCCTTCCGCAGAAGGGAGCGGGGAGTGAAGTGGGAGACGGATCAAAGCCTGACCTGAGATCTTCTCTACGGCCTCTGCCTCCTGGGACATAAGGCAGCCCACCCAGAAACCCAACCCCACACCTCCAGGTCAGGGGGCTGTGACTTTACGCCTTCCCCCCCCCCCTGGAAAACAGAGGAAACCGCTAAAGGGCTGCTCATGGTGGTTAATATCCACAAGCAGCGCCAGGAATGACGACACAATGCCTGAAAGGAAGAGGAACTGCTCCCGTGTGGGGACACCTAGCAAAGGCAAGGGGGGGAGCTTGGGGGGGGGGCGTTCAGATGTACCTTTTTGTCCGCGTAGGAGCCCGTCTCGTGCAGAACTGCCACTCTGAAGGGCGGCCACCAGGCGTGGAACTCCTTCACCCACTGATGCATGACGGTGGTGGGACAGACGATCACGGTGGGGCCCAGCCCTCTGTGCCTGGGGGGACAGGAGGAAGGGAGGCAGCGGTTGAGAAGGGAGGAAGGAAAGGGCGACCGTCTCCTTGCCCCCTTTGCCAGAGAGAGTGGGGGGGGGGCTCCTCTCAGGGGGCTTTTTCTCACTCAGTGTTTTAGGGGAGGGAAACCCTTGTGGAAAGCTCTGACGCCCCTCCCCTCAGAAAGTGGCCAAAAAGTCTGAACCGTCTCCTGAAAGCCCCCCCGGAAGGCTGAGCAACAGGGCAGCCTCTTCTTCTCAACCACAGCAGCTGCCCGGCTGGGCCTTGGAAGAGGAATGCCGGCAGGGGAGGCTCAGCCCTCCCGCACAGAGGGGGCATCCCAGGATCATCACCCCAGAGGGGCTTTTTGCTTCCAAAGGCTCCTGGGCCCTTCTTTTCCCTTGAGGAAGAAGGAGGAGAAAACGTTCTGCTTCTCGTCCAAGGAGCTTCCTCGGTTCTTCATCAGGCGAAAAACAAAACTCCTTGCTCTTCTTCCTCACACGGGGGGGGGGGGGGGGGAGACACCAGTCCAGTTGCCTTTGGAAGAATTAAAAGCACCTCTGAGACAGCTAAATGACCCGGATGGCCGAGGGTCTCCCCATCCTACCCCTGGGGGTCAAGGGCAGAGATCCCCAAGCTTTACACTTTGTGCCACGCTGCCATTGGCTGCTGCAACGCTCCGGAAGGGAGGGGGCACCGCTCAGGGCGGAGACCCCCATCCCAAAGCCTGCCTGTGACTGGCAACCGGGGTGGGGGTGGGGAGGGGATTGGGCCTGGGGAGGTCATGCGGAGGGCAGATCTCTCGGCTACTAGGAATTCGGGGCCCTTTGTGTGAATGGGAGCTGAAGGATATCGAAGCCCTAAAACTGAAAGAGGAGGCTGAGCTCCAATCCCCGTCCAGCAAATGAACCGAAATTAAACCATCCCCAAAAAGCAGCCGTCCAGGCCCTGCTTAAGGGCCTGGAGAAGGAGGGAGCCGGTCCCAGGCCGAGGGAATTGGTTCCACAAGCGGCTTCCCCTCCCAGGGAAGGCCCCAAATCCACCCGCAATTGGGAGAAGAGGCGGCACGTCAGCGTCTGAGGGGACCCAGCAGCCCTTCCATTAGAGCAGAGCTCTGCTGGCTGGAGAATTCTGGGAGTTGAAGTCCACAAGTCTTAAAGTTGCCAAGTTTGGGAACCACTGCATTAGAGCAAAGGGAGGACTCCCCCCCTGCCCCCCCCCCCCCCCCCCCCCCCCCCCCCC